CGCCGAGGTGAGAGATCCCGCCGGGCGACGCGAGGGGTGGGCGGGGCGGCGGGCGGCGATGGATGAGGTGTCGTCGTGGGGATTCGTCTGCTGAGAGAGGCGGCGCGGAGTTCCATTTTTCTCCCGGCCTTCGCGCCCCGGCCGCCTGCCGTGCCGGGGTTGTATATATACACGCATATCGGTTCCGGGTTGTGGAATGTTAGTTTATAGAGAAGCGAGCGCGAGAGGCGGAGTGCAGGATTCATTTGGGCGGAGGCGGCGGAGGTGTTCGTAGCGAAGTTTGCTGTCTCTCTCTTCCTTCCGTCAGCTTTGTGGGTACGTGTGGAAAGAGTGTCTGTGTGCGAGTTAAGTGTACATGGGTGGGGAACCGACAGGATATGTTGTTTGTGTGGACATGAAGATAACGACGAAGAATTCGGCGCGAGGTGTTCAAGAGAAGTCCCAAGAACCGTGTTCTTTTGCAGCGCCTCTATATCTGCGTTTTACTATGTGTCTTAAGGCATGCTATACTGCATCTGTGGGGTTTGTGGTAAATACTGATTCAGTCAGCTTCTAGAACGGATAGAGACTGGAAAATATGACGTTCTCATTCTTTCCTTCTCTTCATGTCACAAAAAGTATTACCCCGCTTGTGGTAGTGTTTGTATGTTCACTGTTCCCTTTCATTATTCCATCTGTTGTTACAATATCATTATATGTGATATTTGTGAATAGTTTTTCTTGTATCCACCTTTCTTGGATTTTTCATACTTATCTTCCGTTTTGGTTAGTAATCGAGTTCGTTGACGTTAATCTAAATCTATTCTTTTGTTCCAAACGCAGATACCATAATACCATGTGCTTTTCATGTCCATAAATCATTTGTTTACACCGCTTTCCGACTCAGAACCATTATCAATGTTGCTTCTTCCCTTACAGAGTGTTCAAGAGAGACACGTTATTTTTAAAATGTCAATCAAATTTGTTTTTGCAACTGGATTAATTGTGGTAACATTGTAGAATCTTGTTTTCGTAATATGAAGAGTTGCATAGCTGACACTTAGCAATTGTCACGATTGTTTCCAGAAATGCATTTACTGCATTAATACACAAATCTACACTTCATTTATCCTTTTATTAGCACGTAAATGCAGATTTGAACAGTCGTAGAGATTCTTTTGTGTATGTAATTCAGGATGAGAGAAATTTTAGCTAGTCTTTCCCACTCATGTAGTATTGTTAGGAAGTATGTAAGAATGTGTTTTTTTTTGTTGATGTTTATATTTTCTCAGCCATGGAAGTTCACGTGAGGATCACCTTTTAGATTTGACTAATCTGCGCGGAAGGTTTAAACCTCTATTATGAAAGATCAAGGTCATTTTTAACACCACAGTTACGAGAAAAATCAAATATAATTCCAAAACGTTATTTTCAAGTCTGAGTAAATTGTCAATTTATGAAACTATCCATGTTATTTACTTTTTGAAGCCGAATTCTTGATGGACACGTTAGTTATAAGATAATCCCTTAGTAATATCTATTGCTTAAAGTAAATAGACATAAACCAAAGTCCAAATTAAATAGACGTTCCTCATTTTTGCAGAGTGAGTGTTCTTGAAGCAATCGCAAACGTGGCAACAAATTTCCGCCAGCTGTTTTTGGTGGCCGAGTCGCCATGGACTCAACACCACCAATGTTTCGCAATAAAATTGTTCGATTTGACTTACGCGTTCAGAAATCTAGATCGTATTTGAACCCTTTCGATGGATTATCCACTTTTCTTAACACACACATTCGAGCTAAGAAACATACTTAGCTTGTTCACTCGTCTTACAACATAGCGTTTTCTTAATAAGTATCAATCTCTTAAGCAATGTCTATTTCAACTCTTAATCTCCATTTCAACATTCTACTCTTAATTCGAATCCCAAAATCTGCAATTAGACCAACTGGAGAAGATACTTGGAGGAGAATCCCGCGTGTAGACGAGTAGGTCGGAGCAGGATTTCATATGCTAGTGGGGGAGAAACATCGCCATCACTCGGGATATAACACAAACTATACTTATGGGAATCACCTGACCGGAGTTCACGCCCCCGGATTCAAATTATACTTTATCACTACCGCAGTAAGACGTGTAAATGTTTATTGTAGAGCTTTTAATGCTGTATGTGCGCGTGTTGTTCCTGTGGGCGAGTGCTGACGGGCGTGCGCGTGTTGCAGACGGTGAGCACGGTGCCGCGCGCGCGGCCGCTGCAGCCGCAGCCCGCCGCCGCGCCGGCGCCGCGCAGAGAGAGATCGCGCGCCCGCCGAGGCCCGTTTCCCAGCTTCGAGACCGTGTACGCCAAGCCCGCGACGGCCGTGAGCCGGCCGCGGGGGAAACTTCCCGCAGCGGCAGCGTGTCGTACGACTGGCGACATCCACCGGCCGGCGCCGGCTGCGCGGCCCAGCGCCCGTGGCGGGGCGCCGAAACGACGTGCCTGGTGGTGCACTTCCCCATCGCCCGCTTGCGGCCGGCGGCCGCGTCGCCCACCGCCGCCAGCCGCCCCGCGACCCGCAAGCGCCGCCTCAGCGCCGCCCCCGCCGGCGGGCGCCGCCTACGCCGCCCAGACCGCTCCCGCCCCATGTCGACGCCTTTCGAGACCGGCCTTCGCAGCAAGTGGCGCGCGTGGAGTACTGCCTCACAACCAGCCCGTTACCGGCGCCGTGGGGTGTCGGCAGCCTACGCTCGCGTGCGGCCGGCCCAGCACGGTGTGTGATACTGCAGTACCAGCGGCGCTCGTGACCTCCTCGACAACTACAGCTCTGACGAGCGCTCGATCAGCGCATCCGCTGAGCCCGGAGACTCCTCCGTGCAGCACCCCGACAGCCCATGCGGCCGGTCACCAACGCCCCCTACCCTAGCACAAACCGCCAAGACTCCAACCAACGCCGCCGCACTTTCAATACATACGGCCGGACAGAAACCCAGAAGCAGAGACCCATACCACATCCAGCTCCGAGGCGGCTCCAGCGAACCAATACCCTATCTGAGCGATTCCGCCAATCGTCAATGAACCATCCTTACCTTAACACAGAATCCTCTTAACGAGCGCTAAACCGAATTCTGGCGGCTTCGCGATCAGCAACAGCACCAAAGCAGAGCTCTAGCAAGCAAAGCACAGCAAGCCGCAGCAGCTGGTCCGAATCAATACTCGGAAACAGCGGTTCTGTCCTGCGGCGGCGAGATCAGCAGCGGCGTTGGCCAAAACCTCCGCAGCCAGAAGCGACCCGGCTCCGCTGCCAACAGCCCACGCCCTCGGTCGACGCTTCTGCAGCCGCGTCTTCAGTATACAAATGCTTTTGATTGTCCTAATTATCATCGTCTGAAATTCTGAATATCCTATCTAAGGCATAGATGGGCTGAATACGCGTTCGCGGGCAGCGGACCGTCCAGAGCTCGCTCAGGGCGCCTACGGACTCGCGAGTCCCTCGCCCCACTGGCGAACTCGCTTCGGACCAAGGTCCCGCGCTCTCCCGTCCAGAATAGGCTTGGAGAACCTCGAGCGCGCCGCTACCGTGAGTCCATCTGTCGGCCCGATAACCCCACCGCCTCCAGCCGCCTCCAGACGCGCCGGTGTCTCCACTGCAGTAGCAGAGCTCCACGATCTCAAGTCCTAGGAGGCGAACGACTAGAGGACCGCGAACGACTTCAGAACCTCGGCGCTCCCCACACGCCAGCGGTCAGGTCCAGCAACGCTGGAGGACGCGCTTCAACGAGCTGGAGGCCATCTACAAGAGCCTGCGCCTCGGCGACGAGGATCTGCTGAACGGCGCCGAGCGGCGGGAGGCCCGGCCTACAGACGCGCCACCGCGCGCCGCCGCCAGAAGGCAGGCCTACCCGTGAGGGGCGCGGTGCGGCGGTCCGAGTGCCGACTTCGGGGTGTCAACTTACGGCCGGCGACCGCGCGCCCCCGGCTGGCGCAAGGCCGCACGGGGCCCCGGACCCCCGTCCCGGACGACATGGCCTACACGCCGCCGCTGCACCGCTAAGAGAGCGGCGCCAGTCTCCCAGGAACGCCGCAAGAGCTCTCGTGTCGCAGTCGGGCAGCTACCGTCATTGCGTCCCCGGCCCTGGGCCCAGCCAGGCGAAGCGGACCTGGGTGCTGGGCTGCCCCCGCCGCCCCGCCGCCTGCGGAGCCCGCCGCGCGGACAGAGCCGGAACGGTCACCGACACAGACGACGTGCTCTTTCCGAACTAGCATCAAAGCAACGCCGAATAACAACACGCGCTGCTGCGCATCGGAGCGGACCCGTCAGTCCGCCCGTTGACGGCGACCGGACTGGGGCCCCGTCACGCCCGCGCACGCCAAGCAGCGCTTCTGCACGCCACGCCCGGCGTTAGCCCGGCACCCAGCGCCTCGCCTTCAAGGCCCTGCAAGATCCACGACGTGGGTGAAAGGACCAACCTGAGCGTTCACGGCGCGCTGCGCATACAGGACACGCAGAAGGACCCCTCCGCTCCGCCCGTCGCGCCCTGCGATACGGCGTGGAGGCCCTGTTCCAATTCATGCTTCGGCTCGAAGCCCCTACGGCAACCGGAAGTATACTATTTCATCTACTGGCGCAAGAAGCGTAAAGGCCCGTTGCGCACGCTGATCCCGCCAACTTGATGAGGGGACGCTGGTGCATCCAATGAGAAACGCGCATCGTGTCCCCGCGGCCGCGCCGCGACGGAGGACCCTGGAGAAGACGCAGAGCCTGACGGACCTGCCGGAGCGTTGAAGTGGCGCTTTCAGAAAGATCCTGGAAGGGAAGGGGTGATGGGGGCGGGCCGGTGGCGGCGCTGCCGCCGCCTGGCCGACGCGGCGGCCCGAGGGGCTGGACCCCGCACTAACGGCGTTGAGCGCCGTCCAACCTGGGTGGAGCGCGCGCTGCTGGACGCGCTCGCCTGCTGGGCGGGCGGCGACGGGCGCCAGCACGCAGCACGGAGAACGCTGACGGAACAGCCGCGCCAACACCGCGGGCGGCGCGGGGCGGGCGGCGGGCGGCGGCGGCGGCAGCCGGCGCGGTGAGCTGGCCAGCCGCGCCGTCGGCCGCCCGCCCGCGCCCCCGCGCGGCCCCGCCGCCGCTCACGCCGCCCACTGCACAACCGCCGCCGTCCACCGCCGCTCGATCAGACCCAGTTTAGACGATCTGCTGAGCGACCCTCGCGGCGCGAGGCCAGCGCCCAGGACGAGCCGCTTGGATCGGGAACTGCAGCAGCTGCGCTTGGAGCCCGAAGGCGCAGTTGGACGCAAACGTGCAACGTGGTGCTCGCCCAAGCCCGTGACGCGCGCGCCGCCGCCCCACCCGGTCTCGGCCAAGCCCGTCGCCTCGCCGTCGCCCAAACCGGCGCCCGCGCCGTCGCCCCAAGCCGACCGCGTTCGCCGGGTCGACTCGCAAGGAAGCTTCGTCCGCCGTCGGCCGATCCCGCCCGAGCCGGCGCCTCTGCGCTCCCCGGAAGCGTAGGCAGGCCGTCGTCGCCGTCAGCCGTGGCCACGCGCCGCGGCGGGCGCGCGTCGCCCTCCAACCAGCGCCCCCGCCACCCCCGAGCCCACCAATTAAAGACGGCGCAGAGCCCGCCTCGGCAGCGACACTCCAGGCGAGGCCCCGCCTGGGCCCCGCCCCATGGACGCGCCCCGCTTCTCTCCCGCAGTGCGCAGGGCGGCGGTGCCCGCGCCCAAGCGCCATGAGAGCGGTGGACGAGCCTGGTGTCGCATGTGCGGGCGGACCTGGACGAGCTGTTG